TGCTCCTGGTTTTAAGCCACTATATGGGTGCTGGGAACTGAACCCCAGTTTTATTTTTCAGGAACAATCAGTGCTCTTAACCGCTGATCCATATCCCCAATCTCTTATTATTTTATTAAAGAAAGATTTCTTTTTATTTTAAATCTCTCTGTGTGTGTGTCACATGCACGCACAAGTGCCGTGGCACACGTGTGAACGTCAGAAGACAACTTCTAGGACTCTGTTCTCTACTGCCGTGGGGTTATGATCAAACTCAGGTCAAATTCTTTTACTGGCTGAGCCCATCAGCCATCTCATCATCAACACCCCCCCCCCCCAGCCATTCTTTCAACCTTATACCTTCCATGAATTCTCTTCTTAGAAAAGAGGTAAATGATAGTCAATGGAACATTGTCTGAAGTCAGCTCAGTGGAGTAATTTCTGTCCCAGATCCTTCTTTTCCCCCTAGATCCTCTTAACACATGCTTTTCCTCCCAAACTCTTGGTCCCCCTGGAGAAGTTCATGTGTCTGTTTTCAAAATGTGTGCAACTAAATAAATCACAGGGACTATTCTGCTTTCACTGGACGCAGAACAAATGTAGAGCAATTCCTTAAAAGTTCATAATTTTTGCTTCACGTCTTCATCTCAAATCCCTTGACACTGATACTGATGTTTACAATGAGTGATGGTTCGGTATAATTTCCATCTTCGACCTACATAAAAGGTCAGTCTCCTTTGGAGATTTAGGGTTATCTGTTTATAACTTTATGCTGTGTCAGTGACAGCCTAGGCAGCAAATCATACGGACGATCCTGCCCAGCCTCATGGCGGCTGGGGGACCATAATGAGCTCACTAATGAAACTGAAGCAAGACCATGCCCTTGTTTCCTGTGGTGCCTTTTGGCTGCTTGGTTCTCATCACGGAACACTAAATTGGGCCTGAAATTCTTTTGTGTCCTTAATCTGGTTTGGAAGCTATTGGACTTCCTTTTCCCAGAGCCCCGATATGTGAAGAGGACATTTGCAGATGTCAGATATGTGGGACCAAAGCCCACAAAAGCAATTCATGCATTCTCAGGTACAAAAAAAAAAAAAAAAATTAGGATCGGGGACTAGACAGATGGTTCAGCCCTTGTGCATTGCTTCCTTGGACCCACAAACTACCTGTAACTCCAGCTCCAGGTGAGCCAATGCTACCGGCCCTCAGGCACCTGCACACTCATGCACCCCCCCCCCCATAAAATCCTAAAATTAGGAAAAAAGAATGAAACGTTAGTATAATGGTACATTGTTTTCTCTTTTAAAAAATTTTTGCACAGGGGCTAGAGAAATAAATGCCTTAGCAGTTCAGGATGTCCGCTCTTGAGAGGACTTGAGTTCCAGCACTCACATGAGGTGGCTCACGATTGCTTGTTGTTCAAGCTTTGGAGATCTGCACATTTGTGTATTCCTACAGGCACATGAGGTTCACACACACTCACGCAAGCAAACACACATAAATAACCCTTAAAAAAACAAACAAACAAACAAACAAACAAGCCCCAACTTCTTAGTCTTTATTTCAAATTATTGCATTTGTTTTCTGCTTTTCACTTTCTTTAGAGTTTTGCTAAGTAGCCCAGGCTAGCCTTACAGTCACTGTGTATGTTAATCTAGGCCAACCTCGAAAGCATAGATTTCATGAGGCGTGGTGTAGCTTTTTCACCCAAGTGGTTCTCCTGCTTCAGTCTCCTGAAGGCTGGGATTGCAGGCATGCACCGCCATAGCTGGCTTCATGCTTCTGAAGATTTAAGATCATAAATTCATTTCCTGACATGTATGCCTTCATTATCCTACAGCGCTCAGTGCCCTGACAGAGACTATAAATGACAGTCGAGTGACCTTCTCAATCCAGTGGCTGTCACCTGCCCTGGAAATCGAACAATGACTTTTTACCTCCTCTGGATACTATCTGCTACTCCAGTTCTTATCTTAACATTTTCTTAGGCTAAGGCTTAGGCCTGGAACTCGGGAATTCGACTACTTATAAAGAAAGCTTCTCTTTTCTTATGCCAATACCTTTGGCCTCTAAAGTTGTAAAATCTATCCCCACTTATGATTTCGATTTCCGGAATGTATCAGAATTCTTTTTGGATTTCTCCTTGTTGCTCTGAGTGCTGCAAAAATTTTCAAAGCTTCCCCAGATCTTAGTGCGATACTGGTTTCAAAATAGAGCACACTTCCCTTCCCAACAACGCACGAGGTCTGTTGGCTCCACACCTCTCTGACTCATGATCGGAGAAAATAAATGGAAAGCCCGCCTTCGTTTTTGAGTGTGCATGAAAGGGACGCAGAGCGGCGGCTTGTTTACCAGCCGCTGTCGGTGGTCTCTCTGCATTATTTGCTGCTGAATGCTAAGCAAGTTGTTGAAGCGCTCTGTACCTGAGGTTGCAGAGCGGTGTGTATCTCAAAGTTGCCCTAAGGATTAATAGGCTTTGCAGGGCTTGTGAGTTAAGGGTGCTTCATTAATACAGAGACATAAAAAGACACAGGAACCAATTGAGATTGGGACAGGCACCTGCAATTGTAATCAAGACCTAATCTAGACCTTTCCAAGAGCAGTTGGCTTTTAAACGACAGATTTCTGACACCAAATGGAGAATTTGGGCTGAGAGACCACACAGCAATGAGAAAGTGTTTGCTTTTTTTTTTTTTTTTCTTTTCCTTTTTTTTACTTTGAGAGATGTTGTCAAACAATGCTCATTTGAGAGTTATAACAGGCATGGAAGTTCCCACTGAAAAGACGAATTTGACAAATGAGTTATTGTGGTGATGCTGATAAGTTGAGAATATTGGGTTTTGCTTTAGATAATGTAACAATTGGAAGATAAACTTAAAAGCACGGCCTATAGTTCAAATGCAAGATTTCCTATCAGTTTCAATTTTTATGTGTGATTTTAAATAATTGGCTTTGAAGTATTTCAAAATAATTTTTAATGTCTATCTTGTAATGTCTTTTACCTTGGTATTTTAGCCAAATTGGAATAAACAAAAACAAATCTTGGTTGTCTCGGCATCAAAACCTGCTTAAGAAATAGTATCAACTGTGTGGATTTTCAAAACAGGCAATATGCTGTCCGAAGAATTTTCTTTCTGCAACAATCTAAAACTAAGGAGATTGTCCTTTACAGTGGCTATGGTTTTTCTATCAGGAGTGATTAACTATTAAGAGACAAAAAATGCATTAAACTCACGAATGTATTAGGTTGGATTACTAACAATAGGCCTGATTGATAAAAGCGGTTTAATATATGTTGTGTTAATAGATGAACCTCCAAAGCCCCTAATCTCCCAGGGAAATACTGCTCTGTAGAACAAAATCCAATGAGAAGTTCTGGGATTCCAGAGTGAATTTGTACATTCCTTAGGGGCATTTTTGCAAGGGAGGTTGTTGTGTTTTAAAGGTAGTTGATAAGAGACCCGCACCACCAACCACCACCATGCATTAGGCTATAGAAGGTATTCGGGTGTACGGACGCCTGTACCACTCGGTACCACCATTTAGCCAAGGGAAGTTTCTGACCACTTGCAGCGTACATTATAAATCAGGGTGTCACTACCAGACAATCAGATTTGAACATTCCATGAACAAAGTAGGAACAGATCACTTAACTCTGTTTATGTCTTGCTGTTGACACGCCTGCGTTTCCACAGGTCAGGATAACATCTTGTTTATTTATTCTAGGAGTAGGTAATTGATCTGTATATTTAGCGGAGGTGGGGTTAATTATAGCCAGGAACCTGAGTTTTCTCATTTAGCACGATTGCTTAAATACAGAATGAAAACAAAATAATTTTTTTTCCAACTTTGAAAAGTATTCCTAGTCATTGGGTGTGTGAACTAAAATTTGAGTTTTCTCCAAGCTGGGCTTGTATCAGCTGTCCTCTTTGAAAAATTTTATTTCCCTATTTGGCGCAGAATTCTTGGGACAGTCATTGGCTAGATACTGGAGAAGACTGCAGGATTTCCAACTGTCAAGATTAGTCCCCTGCAGATCCTAGAGGCCATTGCAGGGTATTTGTTAAACGAAATGAGCTTTAAGTCCTCCCTTCTCCAGGTCCCTGCCACTTGGGTTGTGCTAATCTTTGTGGCTGTTGCAGAAACTTTGTTAGGCAGATTTGACCACATCTACATGAGTTTTTGAGAAAGCAGCCAAAGCTGGTCTGTTTAAAACTTTGTATATATAGTTTAATAATGACTAGCCAGTTAAGAGTCATAAGGAGGGGGATTAAAACACCATAGCTAAGCAAATGATGAGATAGTTATGTTAACCTTCTGGCTACAGGTTGCCTCTTTGTGTCTTTGTTAAATTCTACCTGACCATTTTCACAGATTGCTACTATACCAAAACATAGATAAAAGAAAGAACTGATTTTATTATTATGGGCTAGGAATATTATACTTTATTATAAATAATGTGATGAAAATATTTTAAATCTTGATCAATATTTGTTCTTTGATCAGTTCTGTAGGAAAAGGAGATGTAGAAGTCCCAAGTCTCTCTTCCGAGTGCTAGGATTAAAGGCATGTGCCACCATGCCTGGTAGAGCAACCATTTTTAAACAGCAAGGTGCCTGCTATCAAAATGCTTCCTGGACAGGACATGTCAAGGTGTACTCCAATCAACTGTGTAGGAAAATAATCTTCTTGCAGACATCCAAATAAATGTCTTTTATGTTATCAGTGCGAAATTGCTTTCCTAATTTTACACATAATTTGCATTCTTTTGCTACCAAATAGTTGAATTTTTTTTCATCCCTAACTTGTATTTCTTTCGTGAAATACCTTATTTTTCTTTTATTGAGAATATTTTTCTCACCTCCTCACCTTGTCTCCCATCATGACACATCTTAAAGGTTTTTTTTTTTTTGTTGTTGTTGTTGTTGTTGGTTTGTTGGTTTTTTTGTTTTTTTTTTTTTGAGACACGGTCTCTCAGCATCTTAAGTTTGAAAACAATGTCGATTTCTCCGTTACTGCAGACTGCGGCAGTGGGAATTTTCGCTGTAACAATGGATACTGCATTCCTGCAGCCTGGAGGTGTGATGGGACCAAAGACTGTCTGGATGACACAGATGAAATTGGCTGTCGTAAGTGAGGCGGGGCCAGGCTTGGCTGGGGTTTTGAGTGACATGAATAAGTGTTGTCTGCTCTCCCCTGTGCTTTCCTGGTAGGTTCAGGGCTCTGCTGAAGCTTGGGAGGGAGGGGCTCAGTTTAATACTAGTTCCTTGCTGCGAGCCTGCGACTTTACTGAGAACGAATTTATACTTGATCTTCTGGAGCTTGAAAATTACTGTTGTGGGTTATTCACCTGGGAATTTTTTTTTTTTTTAATCAAATGATGATATGTGAAGTACTCTGGTTTATAAATCAGGGAGAGCTTCCTTTTCATATACGAAAAGCTGTAGAGTAGCTTGTGAATTACCACAAAGAACATAACAGAAGTTAGCTTGGTGCTAGGTCATTAAAAATCTAGGTAAAACAACACAATACTTTAAAACCTGAAATTTATTGTAATTACCTACTTTTAAAGCATTTCACACAGTTTGTTTTTTTTCAGCTCTCAGCATTATTCTGAGTGGGTCTCAGATTAGGAAACAGTCTCGGGGTTGTTGAGCCACTTATTACGGGCTCTGTGGTCGCTGCTCTCAAGTCACTGACCTCAAGTCCTTGGCTATCTCTGACCTGTAGTTGCTGGACTACGAAGCCCTTCATTCTGACAGGTCAATGGTCAGGAAGACAGGTGACAACCTGAGCGTTCTGAACTGGCCACTCTGTGGCACAGCTGAGCGGTCACACGAGAAAATGGAAGGAAAGGAAGGAGCAGGGTGGGGGGAGGCTTTCACACTTCCCAAATAGATCTTGCAAAACATCAGATTTTCACTCTGTGTTTGGGATAGATTCTGACGGTTTTGCGTTCCTACTAACTAGTCTGTTGTTGATGCTGGTTCTTTTATTTTCTGAGTCATCGTTGAATGAGCAGAGCTATGCTTTTGGCATATGATGATCTTGTAATAGTATGCTTTGACTCCTGGCTCCTACAGTTTAAGCAACAGGGGCAGAACGCACAAACGGTATCCAAGGACGCACGCATACATGGCCGGTCTCCAGGTGTTCAGACCTGTCAGTGCCCTATGACTGACAGTGACATCAGCAGTGCCTGTGACAGCTAGCATTACATGGCTCTTTTACACACATTATTTACTTCATTTTTAGGATGCAAACATTAAGGGTCAGAACTCATCAACATTCCTAAAACAAGTAAATGTGGAAATAATGATTTCATTCTCAGTTTCCTCCTACTATCTCACATATTTTCTATCCGTCATGATACTTTACTATTCGATGTTAAAAACCTACCAAAAAGAATAGTTTTTTTTTTTTTTTTTTGCCTAAATGAGATAATTTTGTCTCAGATTTGTGTGTGTGTGTGTATATTGGCTTCATTCTCTGTTTATACATTATGTGGCTGCCATTGCTGAAGTGATCCGACAACGGTGTCAAGCGAGAGTTGATGGAGGATCTCTTCAATTCAATCACTGCTGTTGCTTTCTGGGACATGTCTCCCAGCATAAACCCCCGTTTTTTTTGTTTGTTTCATTTCAGCTCCCCGTTCTTGCGGATCGGGCTATTTCCTGTGTCCTACTGAGGGGACCTGCATCCCTCAGGCTTGGGTGTGTGACCAGGACATGGACTGTTCGGATGGAGCGGATGAACATCAAAATTGCCGTAAGTGTTTAGAGTGGCGGCGTTTTCCTCTGGTTCTTTGATGCCTCAGGTCTAGCCCGCTGCAGATTGGTGATACAGAGTGAGCTGATTCTTCATCAACACTGGGCCAGACCCGAAGCTGTCTGGTCAGAGGCTGGTAATCTCATTCAGAGGGAGGGTCCTATCAAGCGTGGCTACACAACAGACTTAGACCCCCCCCCCCCCCCCCCCAGGCTGGGAGCTGTTAAGCTTGCCAGTCTTTAATCTGAAGTGTAAATTTAAACTAGTAGCACTGAGTGAGGCCCCGTTCAGGATGGCCCTGCCATTCTTTGCTCTGCGGGCTGATGGGAACTCAGGTCTATATTTAGGTCCCGGATCTTATTCTGTGTTCTTCGTTAAAGTAGATTTCTGGGATGAGCAGGGAGGGTGTCGCCAACAGGCGTGAAAGGAAATCTCAGTCCCTCCGGAACCGGCGCTGGGAGCACGGAACTTCCTCTTGCTTCTGTTCTCCCTCACTGCCCACACTCACTCACCAGCTCCCGGCTGATTGGCCTGAGAACCTTTCTAAGGCTCGGCAATACTTTTCCATCCACACCTCCACCCGTGGAGTATTTTGCCATCCGGGTGGTCTGCGCTGCAGGCGCTGCTGGACACTGTTGCAAGGATCCAGTTAGACTGGGTGCCTGCTCACGCCCACTAAGCAGAGGCAGGAGAATTGCCGTGAGTTTGAGGCCATTTTGGGGCAACATAGTGAGTTACAGGCCAACCTGGACAGAGTGAGTTCCTGCCTAAGAAAACAAAACCAAACCAAATAAAACGTCAATAACAAAACGAAATATCTTATTAAAATCCTTGATTAAAAGCCGTGGCGGGGATTCCAGTGGTCTCCTGGAAGGTTCTGATGCTTAATGCTTGCATGTCTTCTTTTCTTAAAATGTTTTTTGGGGCAGAAAGCTTGTCCCAGCCTTCTGTCTTCGTGCGCACGGTCTGGATGCTCACTGTGACAGTCCTTTTGTCTATTTGGGTCAGCTAACTTCCCACCCATAGCACCCCCTTCCCAGCCAAGTGTGGAAACTGTCCCTGTCTATTCTCCTCTTATATCAGGGGAAGTTGCCTTTGCTATTCTTCTCCTCCCCACACTCCATCACCTCCCTCTCCCAGCAGAGTAACAGAGGCCGGTCTGGAACGCTGATCCTCTTGCCTCTACCTTGCCCTTCCAAGTCCTGGCCATCAACTCATTCCTTTAACACCAATGCTGTGATTCCTATGTGTCTGAGCCACTCGGTCATTTTCTTTTTTAAACATACTTATGTATTCACGTGTTTAATGTGTATACTTTCTGTGCTCTGGGGGCATGCAGGAGCCTGAGAATGGCAGAAGAGGGCACTGGATCCTGTGGAACAGGAGAGGTGGGGGGTTGTGAGCCATCATGTGGGTGCTGGGACTTGGTTCTTGGGTCTTGCATAAGAGCAGCAAGTCTATCTTTCTCTGCTTGTATCTACCATCTACCAATCTTTGCAATGCCCACATCTTCCTCATTGTCTGTCATACACATTTTAAGTTTGTTTTACTCGACACATGTTAATAGCTAAGGTCTGTACTTCAGAGTGCAGTGCCTTTGATTTTACATGTGTCACTGTGAAATGTCTGTCCAGTGCATGCCCTGCTCTCTGCTTGTTTTTGCCCTCCAGTATCATGATCCGTATTTGGTCGTCATCAATGGCTAGTCTATATTTGGCAATAACTGTAAACAAGGTTCTCCTTCCTTTTTCCTCCCCAGGTGGGACCACATGCTCAAGCCAGCAGCTGACATGCTCTGACGGTCAGTGTATTCCCATCGAATACAAGTGTGACCGTGTCAGCGACTGTTCCGACGGCTCGGATGAGAGGAACTGCCGTGAGTCTGCCTCAGTCTTTGCACACCGCTTGCTTTCACCTTTGGCATTTTAATCAACTTGTTAGGTTTGTTGATGGACAGAAATGCCTACAATGCGCCACTTGTTGCTGAAATCTCTTGGCAGATTCTTTTGTGGATTAGGGGTGACGGTCTGATAGCAGTGTATTTTTAACAAGACATTCTGTTTGTCCTGCCTCAGCACGTCAAGGTTTTGAAGTAAGAAACTTTTAGCATTACAAGGCTCCTTGAATAATTGAGTACAAAATCTATTTTTATCAAAATCTATAGTATTTATTGTTGAAATGCTTTTGTCAAGTTTCTCAGTTTTTCTCCTTTTGCACACTCTGTATTTTGGAAGACAGTTACATTTTGAAAATGTATTTCCGTGTAATAATATTTAGATCAGTTTGTAACTGATTGCCACTAAGTTAGGCATATAAACCACGGTATTCTCTGCCTAATGTCTAAATAATAACAGTCAAAATAAATACTACTGCATTGCATACTTGGTAAAAAGCAGAGAGGTTTATAGAAACCTGCTAGGCGCTGGGCATGATGGGAGGCAGAGGCAATGATTTCCAGACCTGCCACCATGTCTTCATGTCCACATAGCAAGTTCTAGGCCGGCCAGGGTTACACAGTGAGACCCTGTATAAGAACACAGGGGTCTTTACTTCCTGAGCCGTCTCAGCAGCCCTTAATCAATCAACCTTTAGAATACAGAGCAAGTGCTTGGTGAGGCACAGGGAGAGCGTCACAGTCAAGATCCCTGTTTCTGGAATGAGATGAGTCAGGAAGGGCAGGAGCTCGTCAGTGCAGGTAGGGGCCTTAAGGAAATCGCACACGTTTGAGGAGTTTTGCAGCGACTGCTTTGTTAAATCGTATTTGCTTTTGTGTTTTGAATTCTCACAAAGCAGGAAATTGGGAACCTCCGAACTTCCTGTTGTGTGGCTGGAAGGACGGTTCTCTCTGTGCCCCGCCCCCGTGTCACCTGGCTTGTAACTCCAGTACTGGCGAGGCGGTGCCTCTGACCTAATGGGTGACTGCGCACACCTGAGGACACACTCTGGGCAGACACACACGAATACACATAATTAGAAATCCTTTTAGAAAAGCGCCAGTACGGGTGTGTAGGGGGACCACGAGTGTTTGAATCTCTTGCGGGGAAGAAAGGGCACTCACCAGCTGCCCTGTAACCACTGTAAATTGGTGTGATAAACACTCCCATTCCATGGGGATTGTAAAGGAGGAGTCCTGATTCTAATCCACATCTCAGTGGGTCTTGTGCATCCCAGACAGGCCTCAGTCTTACTGTGAACTTGAACTCCTAGTCCTTCTAAGTACTAGGGTTAGAAACATATTAATCACTGTTCCCAATTTATACTTTGCAATAGGAATGAAAGTTTTTCTTCTGCTGAGACTGGGTCTCACTGTGTAGCTCTGGCTGTCCTGTATTTATGGAAAGTTGTCTGCCTCTGCCTCCTGAGTCCTGGGACTAAAGCCGTGTGCTACCAAACTCGGATGATAGTTTGTATTTTAAAAAGTTACTTTTTTTTTTTTTTTTTTTTTTTACAATTTATTTATTATGTGTATGAGTGCTCTATCTGCATGTACACCTGCACACCAGAAGAGGGCATTAGGTCACATTCTACATGGTCGTGAGCCACCATGGGGTTGCTGGGAATTGAACTCAGGACCTTTGGAAGAACAGCCAATGCCATTGAGCCATCTCTCCAGCCCCTAAAAAGTTATTCTTTTCTGTTTGTTTATTTGTTTGTTTTGAGACAGGGTTTCTTGGTGTAGCCTTAGCTGTTCTAGACTCACTTTGTAGACCAGGCTGGCCTCAAACTCATGGAGATCCACCTGCCTCTGCCTCCCTGAGTGCTGGGATTGCAGGCGGGTGCCACTGTGCCCAGCTTGGTTAAAAAGTTAAGGGAATGAGGGGCGGGGAAAAGCATTGCTGAGCTCTCTTTCATCAGTGGTACTTTGCTGTTTTAAACATTAATTCGGACACATAACAGCTGTGCGTTGCTTTAATGTTCATATGCGATCAAGGGTTAAGTGAGAAACCAGAAGCCAGACATGTTTTCTCTCGTTTTTGCAGTTATTTTGTCCAGGAGTCATTGCTTGTGGACTAACCTAAAACAAACTTGTGGTTATGACTTTGTTTCCCTTTCCTTAGAAATAAGAAGTCGGGCTTTGATCTGTCAGATACCTAGAAGTCATTCGCAGATAGTAATGAATGGAGGAAAAGCTCCAGCAAATTTATTTCCCCAATATCTGAAGACCAGGAAGCTTGACTGTTATTTGTAGTTCTGCCAGTGAGACCAGACCTCTCTGCTAGGATCCCTACCCTTTCAAGTTCCCTAGGCCAAGACATTGCCCTCCAAGACAGAGCACCTTGTGTCCATTCCCGGAATTCCTTTCCAGAACAAGGAAGGTGGGGGGGGGGGGGCGGGGGGGGGGGGAGGTTAGAGAATGGATGGGAGAAAAGCGAAATAAATGGATTGTCTGTAAAGTCAGGATGTAGGCATTGGTGAGACCTGTTTGCCATCCCAGAGGGAGGCTGATTTAGGAGGATCTTGAGTTTGAAGCCAGAGCTCCCGTCACCCCTAACTTATGAAATTTCTGTGACATAAGAGATGCATAATGCAGCTGACCTCTTTTCCTACTACATTTTCATATGCTTTAGGTACTTTTGATTATTCTACACATTGAAGCACATTACTACCTATGTTAAAGTATTACTGCCTTTGAAAAACAGGTATAGGTCCACCCCCAACCCCACCTCTCCGGTTATTTTATTACTCAACTTGCTCATCTGTAAAGTGACATCTGATATTAAACAACTTGTCCATTTCTTTCTTTTTTTTCTTTTCTTTTTTTTTTTTAAAGGAAAAGAAATATTCAAAACCGCAGTCCATTTTACTCGTAATGGGATTAGCATCAAGGAAAACCACTCATGCAGAGTCTTAGATAAACATCAGAACAATGCGCCAATTATGGGCCACTCTTTTCATATACTGAAGTGACTTTTGGTTGCTCAAAAAAATAGTAGCCGTTTTCAGGCTGCGTGAAAAAGATCATTTTGTTTTATTGAGTGAGCACCAGATAGGAACGGTTTTGGTGTGAGTAAAGCTATCGCTAATTATCGTGGGTTTGCAGCCCTCTCTTTTGTTACTTAGGAATGCTAAAGAATGGGTAAAATCCCTGTTACAATGGAGGCTTTCTTGCTGGTAAGCGGTGGTATTTGGTCTGCCTGCCACCGGGGCTGCTTTGTCCCCGGCGTTTCATTTCTTTTGACTTTCTGTCCAGAATTTAAACATTTTTTCTTTCTATGTCTAATGGCGGAAACTCCAGCTGGGGCGGCAGTTGGACGGGAGTGATGAAGACGGGGTCACTCTGGACTGTGAGGGCTCTTGTGAAGAACACACTGTTTCTTAACCTCAGTTCACAACAGGCTGCCCAGTGAGCCTTGCTCAAGTGACCCTGGCATGCATATCACAGTACAGTTGTACCTGCTTAACATTCTCATGCTGAGCCAGGGTTCCGGGTCCTGAAATTTGAGGAAAAAGGCAAAGGAAAAAAAAAAATTTTTTTTTTTTAAATTTAGTCTCCCTTCAAACAAGAACTTTATAAATATCTCCCATCTTCATAAAAACTTCTAAGATTACAGTTAGCTGCTAGCCAGTTTCTCTGTACCTGGTCACCACAAAGCCACACACAGCTCATCTTAAGGACTCCATTTGCTTTCTCTCTCTCATAACTTGAGATATGGCATATATAATCATATAGCTATATGTATGTATATATAGCTACTTGCCTGCAGCCAATCCAACTCACAGGAGCTCCCAATCACCAACATTTTGTCATAGCTAGCAGTTCTTGTTCAAATCTTATCTTATTCAGGAGTTGCTATCACTATTATTTTACCCCGTTCTTTTTTATTTGGTGAATTTTTGTATATCTACTGCTCTATTTTTGTAATATTCTGGAGAGCATTTATGTTGAGGTCTGTTACTCCACCTCCTCAAATTCCGTAACTCCACCCAAAGTGCCTTGATATTTGTGGTATGAAAGAACTTTTCGTATTTATTATATTAATTTGGGTTTTTGAGACACCAGTTTTCCATGTAGCCCCAGCTAGCCTGAAACACGTATGGACCTCTTCCTCCAGAGTGCTGGGGTTGCAGGTGTGTGCCACCATGGCCGGCTGACTATTTTGTATCATCACATTATGCATATTAGTTATACATAATAGCTGAGGCAATTTAAAGGCTGTGAAAATTTGATCTAACCGGCCTTTCTCTCTCCACCCCCTCTCCTCTTTTTCTGCCTCTGCCTCTCAACAGGGTCTTGCTATGTAGTCTGAGCTGTCCTCAGATTCAAGGTCCTCCTGCCTGAGCCTCCTGAGGGCTGGGGTTACAGATGCATGCCACTGCAGTTGGTTTTTGTTCAAACTCAGGTAGATTTCAGTATTTAAATGTTGAATAGGACAGAATGGAATAGAATGCAGTGCTGAGATGAAGGCAGCGTTCTTGAATATCTGCTCGCACATACTGACTTTCCCGCGGTGGGTCTGGGCTCCTGGCAGCTGGATTGAATGACACTGTGTCTGGTGATTGGAATTCTGAGGTGAAGCTGGCCACTGGGACTAAGGTGGAGGAGGAGGTAGACATAGGACCAAGGTGCTGGGTGACTGTGACAGCACAAAGCAGTGCCACGAATATGGTATAGGTCATAAATATGTACACACACGAGACACCAGTTTGCTACGTAGCCCAAGCTAGCATAGTGCACCTTCACACTCTCTGAGCCGTTTACTCTTGTGTTAGAGCGTATGTTTGAAGTCTGTGTGTAGGCGGAAGGAGGGCCGCATCTCTTGGCTAATCTCAGGCCACTGCATACAGACGCTAGGTGGGAGGGAACTTGGGGCTTTAAACCAAACTGGCATCTTTGTAGAATATGCTAGGTGGTTAAAGGCTGTGGAGCTGGCCTCAACTTTCTGGGAAGTTGTCAGAAAGAAACCCAATGCTTTCAGCTACTTTGTACCCCTCCCCCTTCCTGCTTTTTTCCCTTCCTTTCTTCCTTCTGTCTGTCTCACTCTGTAGCCCAGGTTAGTCTAGAATTTACTTTGTAACCCAGATTGGCCTTAAATTTGCAGCCTGCAGAGTATTGGGTTTGATTTTTTTTTTTTTTTTCCTGTTGCTATTTCCACTCATGATCAGTTTCCTATTATTTATTCTAATGCCTTGTGGAACCAGATTTCTTGACTTTGAATTCTGGTTCTCCAGCTTACCTCTTGGGTGCTTCAGGCTCCTCATCTATAAAACAGAAAATAATCAGTGTTCACCTCATGTGGATGGAAAAAAAAAATCCCATGTATGTTGATCACTTTACATGTTTCCAGGACCTAGTTTCTGATATGTTGTTGATAATAATATTTCCTTATTAAACATTATGGGTTGTATTCCTTACTGAGTATTGGTTTTACTAGTCAAACTAGTAAACTTTTTCTAGCAAATCATTACATCCCCTGGATTAGCTTGTTTGGGAGCAGAGTACAAAATACTGAGTGAAAGAAGGACTCTAGGATCTTTGAAGAGTCCAGGTATTTGGCTGAACTCACGGGTCAGTAACTTCTTATTCACCTTGGGATCTTGGGCCTCTCTCTCTTTTCCTGACAGTTTTTTTTTTTCTCTTCTGTGTAGCCCTGGAACTTTGTATACCAAGGGTGGCTTGTAGAACTCTGCTGCCCAAGTGCTGGAATTAAAGGCATGGGCCAACATTGCCCAGCGAGCTTTAGTTTTCTTAATATGCGTTGAAGATGCCTTCTCTTTATAATGAGCTTACTCTCCCTTTATCCCTCCCTCGCTACCTCCCTCTCTTTCCTTTTCCCACAGGATCTCCTTGTGCCCTGGCTGACCTGGAACTCACTATGTGGATCAGGCTGGCCTCTCAACTCCCCCATTTTTTTCTTTCTTTCCTTTCTTTCTTCCTAACAGTATTCAGATAGTGAAGAATAGTACCTTAGAGCTGTTTTTTTCTCTGGGGTAAATGATGCCATTCTTAGAGATTTAGGTATTGTACTGTATACGGGAAATACTGTAAACGGAAAATAATCAGTGTTCACCTCATGTGGATGGAAAAAAAATCCCATGTATATTGAACACTTTACATGCTTCCAGGACCTAGGTTCAGGACCTGGCTTCCTCCTTGATTTTGAGAGGTTAGTTCTGGCTTTCGTGTATCTCACTGAGCAAATCTGCCTGCCTCTTCGGGTTCCCATCGTGCCTGGTCCTCTTGGCTATGTAAATAGAACTATAGCAGGAAAGCTTCTTGCACAAAACCAAATCATTTAGAGGGAGAACAATGCTGTACGCCTATTTTGTGGCAGATGTCACAACAAATGACCCCATTGGGACAGGAGGAAAAGGAAGGAGCAGGGTGTGTTGTGAAGAAGTGTGACATTTTTGTCCTAGTTAATTGGCCCTTGAACAAGGCTCAGAAAGAAGCTGGCGCTGTCCGGCATTGTTTTCTCACAGTTCACTTTCTCTGCTTCATAATTTTTCAAGACACGGTGGTCAATGGATGGCTTTGCTCCATGGTTAAAAAAAAATGAGGTTAGGTATAGGTTTGCCAAATATATAAACTCACAAAGAAGGGAGTTAGGTGTTGCCCAGTTGGGAAACTCACCCAATTATGACTTTTTGCTCTCTAGCTTAGCTTGAAACACCTCAACAGTTTTAGCAAGGGAAATTTGGGTGGATATCCAAAGGGAGATGAACCTCAAATTATCTTCACATAGAAAAGACCAGAAGGTGTGCAGGCTTGGGGTTGGGAGTTGTTCTCTTTTGTTTGAGAGAGATTCATTATCAGTGTAGATGGAGACAAAATAGCTGTTTGCTCCTCATTGGGAGAGCTGACCTCTGGCCATCCTAATATCACCCTGATGACATCAAGCTGGCTGTTAGCTGCCGGGAAAGAGCCTTTTCACTGGGTGCTGATTTAACTCTCCTTTAAGTTTTATGGTTGGAGAAAACAACAGCCCTGCCCAGCACATTGATTCCAGATCCTTCCTAGCCATAACAGTTACCTTAAATGTGGTAGCCACAGTCCAAACCCAAATAAACTTTCCCCCTGACAGGTGGCTTATCTGTGGCAGAGGGCTGGCTTTCTTGGCTTGATGCTGCTCTTAGAGGGTTAGATAACACATTGACTCCTGGAACTATCTGGCACATGGTGTTGGGGGAGGGTGAGGGGGGAGGGAATTGAGTGAGGCCCTCACCTGGCCTTTTGCATCTCTGGAAGGCAGAATTAATAAACAGAGTTGTGTGGCCCATTAGAGGCACTTTCGCAGAGTAGCAGCCCCATAACGAAAGGAAAGCAGAGGTCTAAGAACGAGCTCAGTTTCGGGCTATCATGAACTGTTAGTTTTCAGAAGTAGAAGCACCCAGAGAGCAAACTCATGATGTCACCTGATGGCCTGACCCCACTGTTTTTCTTAGTTCTACATTCTCCTAGACGAAGAGAGTGTTCTTTAACTTTTTAAAGATTTATTTGTATTTTATGTGCATTGGTATTTGGCCTGCATGTACACCTGTGTGAGGGTGTCAGAGCCCTTGGAACTAGTGTTACAGACATGGTCGTGAGTCACTGTGTGGTTGTTGGAAACTGAACTCAGGACCTCTGGAAGAGCAGCCATTGCTCCTAAATGCTGAGCCACCTCCCTATCCTCCCTTCCCACCTCACCCCAGCTTTTTCAGCAGAGTTTCACTCTGTGTGTCAGGCTAGCCTGGAACTCACTATTAGCCCAAGCTTTCTTTCCTCCAACTTATAATACTGTTGCCTCTGCTCCTTGGAGTTATAGTTTTGAGCTGCCATCCCTGGCTAATAGTGAACAATTTATTTTTCAGTACGCTGAGTGTTCTTCCAATTTCTGATTCTCAAGTAAGGTGTGATCCACGAGCTAAAGGGTGTTATTATGTGAAGAGCAAAACAGACAAAACACAATGTGTGTCCTTTGTGACACACATTCAAATACCGAGAAACATATGAGGGTTTGGGTACTCACAGTGTGGTCCTGGATCCAGTATCCGTGGATACTGAGGGATGACAGTCATTTGTGCTTGGGGAACAGTTATGCTTTTCAAAGCATAACTAGACTGTTTACTAGACATTGCTTTCTTTGGATCCTCTACTCTGTGTGTTATTAATATATGATGACGAGGGGACTGAGTATGTTGAGGAAATAGCCACTGGCTATTTTCTCTGCCTTTGGCCAAAGAAGTCTCCTGAGCTTTAGGCTTGTTCTCGTCCCCTTCAACGAGAGAAATGTCCCTTCACTTCTCAGAATGTATATAGCAGTGCCTGATTTTTCTAGGATGTGATTTGTATTATAGAGGAGGAAGTTCCATTTTGAAGCACTATATATTTTCCAAGTCTACAACGTGCATCTCAAAAGCTGCTTCTTTAGGGAGGTATCTCTTGGCTCCCGTAACTTCCTACGGTGACGTCTTGGTGATTTCTACATTTGTATGTCATTTACTGTGGGTCACTATTTGATTAGTGCACCTTTCCCTCACCCCATCTCCAGGAGCTCAGGGACCATCTCACATTGAGTGCCTAACAAATGGCAGTCACTCTGGTCATGTCCATTAAGAGGAAGCCTTCCTTTAAGGTTTCTTAGCTATCTGTTTTTTTTCTTTTTTTTTTCTTAAGCAGATTACCCAACATGCGATCAACTGACCTGTGACAATGGAGCCTGTTACAACACGAGCCAGAAGTGTGACCAGCGGATTGATTGCAGGGACTCCTCTGATGAAGCCAACTGCAGTAAGTCATGCTCATTAGAGGTGTGGTGGCAAGCAGAGGCTGGCTTATACCGATTTGAGGGACAAATATCCACAGATATGTACATTTCTTCCCACTGAATCCATATTCGTTCTTTGAAACCATCCACCATGGGGAGTTATTTACACCATGGAGTTTGGCAGAAGCTACAAAATGGCCATTCCCCAAGGGCTGGTTACATCAGCACTCCATTGCCTAACGGGTCACTTTTAAAATGTGAGGTAGCATCTTGTGATGAAATTAGACGGTGACCACCCAAATGAAAGGATCTCATTTTCTTTCTCTCTTTAACCTCGTGTCCCAGCGGCCGCCATGTGTTCGAACAAAGAATTTGAATGTGGCAGTGGAGAGTGTATCCTTCGCGCCTATGTCTGTGACCACGACAACGACTGTCAAGATAATAGTGATGAACACAATTGCAGTACGGTGATTTCCTTAGGCTGGGTCCAATGCGAAGGGGTAGTTCTTTCTCTCTCGTATCACATCACATTCGAAGAAGAGTCTCCATTTGGCAGAGGAAGCCACGCGTTAATGGAAGGGCTGTTGCTCCAGCTTTATTATCATTGCTTGACCTGCGTTCCTTTATCCTCCTTGGATCTTAGTAGAATGAACAGTTGCTGATAGAGAGCTTGCTTCCTTTCCTATGTTCTTTGTGACGACAGGGTTGAAAGTCACAATATATGCCAGGACTCTAATCTTCTTATTTATTTATTTTTTTTTTCAAGACAGAGTTTTCCCCCATTGTCCTGGAACTCAAATTGTAGTCCAGGCTGGCCTTCAAACTCAGAGATCTGCCTGTCTCTGCCTCCCGAGTGCTGGGATCAAAGGCGTGCACCACCACCACCGCCTGGCGAAGACTCTGATCTTGACTGTAGAGCGTGAGGGAAAGGAGCTTCCTCCTAACAATAACTGCAGCTCAGATTTTGAAATTCTTACTGCATTAAATTTAGAAGGCCGGGAATTTTCCTACAGTGGCCATAGATGCCCTTCATTCCCTGTGTCTTTCCTTACCCTAGAAGCATGTCTGTATCTTAGCTCTTGGGGTATTATAAAGTTAGAAAATCAGCTCCCATGAGTCACCAGCTCTCTGGGTGATCTCTCATCTGCTTTGATGGGCTGGTGCCCCATCTCCCTGTTTTTCTGGGAGTTAGGTCTTGGAACCTGGGCATTATTTGAGCGAATAAAATAAAGAGGATGGAGTGGGTTTTGGTGTAGATGACAGTTGCAGTGCTTGTGGTGAAAATAAATGCTGAGTGTTGGCATTTCTATAGTCTTGATTGCTGCACATTTTCTGATCTCTGACACCCGTGTTCATTTCCTAGAGTCAGAGCCGCTATCATCATAATCATCTTCCTCCTCCTTTTTCTTCTGTTTGTCAAGATATCAAGGCTCAGCCTGATATAGAATCTTCGGTTTGTAGGAGCTCAGGGCGGGCAGTGAATGGACGCTTTGATTTTCCCCAGGGACAGTGCTCTGTTGCTCTCTTCCAGAATATGACACCTGCGGAGGCCACCAGTTCACTTGCTCCAATGGCCAGTGCATTAGCCAGAACTGGGTTTGTGATGGAGACGATGACTGCCAGGATGCTGGTGACGAAGAGGGATGTGGTAAGGACTAGACCAGATTCCTATCGAGAATCGTTTTCCTCCCTTAGAAGTTAAAAGAAGGTGACCCCACTGGAACCCAGATGCAACAGTATAATTAATTAATCCTCTCCCTCCCCATGTTATTATTAAGGACATTCCCTTCTCTCTCTCTCTCTTTTTTTTTTTTGTAAAGATTTATTTGTTTATGTATATGAGTGCTCTGTCTTTCTGTACACCTGCATGTCAGAAGAGGGCATCAGACAGTCGTGAGCCACCATGTGGTTTCTTGAAATTGAACTCGGGACCTGTGGTAGGGCAACCAGTGCTCTTAACCAGTGCTAGAGCCATCCCTCCAGCCCTAGTTGCTTTTTCCTTCAAGACTACGTGTTTTACTGATGTAAAAGTGATAAACCAGGGAAAGAGGGAAAATTAGACTGCAGAGCCTGTAAGAATGTCTTAGGCCTGTGGTAAAATGGGCATTTCAGCTTTGAGTCACTGAAGGATGGGCCCTGCTCCGAGCACTGGGATGGAATTCAGGGTATCAACTTGTCATTTAAGAAGAACATTGCCTTGGTACTCACTATGCTGCTGCCATTAGCAGCTCCTCCAACGGTTCTTGGAGGAAACCTACCCAGCAGTTTTCTCTCACTGTTCCAGTCCCAGATAGAAGGGGGACTCTTATTCTGGAAGAATCATTGGTTGTATTTTTGGTGTTCCAGAAGAACACCCTTTTTTAATTTATAGTTTTCCTTTGATTATCAATGTCTGTTGGCTGCCACATTCAGAAAATGTGGCATTTAAGTAATGACATTTGGTCACATTTGATCAATAAAAAGGCTGGTGCTAGACTTGATTGCAACAGATAAGTTATTTGGATTCTCGTCTCTCACCTGGACCATGTCATGTCTTCTTTTTTTATTAAGAGTGTCTGTAACTATTTCTTTTTTCCCCTTTCAGAAAGTAGCCAACGTTATCATTCATGTTACCCAAGAGAATGGGCTTGTCCAGGGTCTGGGCGATGCATCTCAATTGATTCAGTTTGTAATGGAGTTCCAGACTGTCCAGGAGGAGAAGATGAAAACAACGCCACCAGCGGAAGACAGTGTGGTGAGTGTGGGAAAGGCATGAGGGTTTCTTCCCGAGAAGAACGTGTCTAGAACAGATTCTCAAATGCAGAGGATATCAGTTGGCATTCGAGCAACCAAATACCTCAACTGAATTGCTTCAGTGACAAACAGTCACTGTTTGTTTGTGGTAGTTCTTGCCCACTGTCATGTCACGATCGCCCATAATTGGTTTCATGATGGTAGAAAGAGCAGAATCTGTTATTCAAACACTTTTAAGTCTCTGCGCGTGTCACGTTTGCTAATGCATTGACTACAGCATGCCATTCGGGTGAGGCCAGGATGGAATGAAAGTACATGCCAACAGGGAAAATTGTTTTAGTAACAATGTTGGTGACTCTAACATGGGAGGTTTTTATTTTGTGTGGTACCAGGGCTTTGACTTAGGATTTAGGATTGTTATGCAAAAGCTCCACCCACTGAACTTTGCCTTCTGTCTTGTTACATACATGTCTTGTTCTATACTCGTCTTAAAAAAAGCGTCTGGTTCCTAGGGTATATGTGTCCTGTGAACTATTTTCTAGTGCATAAGCACCCTTTTATCTCCCTCTCCCCAGCCAGCTCATCAATTCTGAGAACAGCTCACATCTCAAAGGGGAATACAGTTCTGAACTTGACCTCCTTATATGGACACTAAGTCAATTGGTGATTTTGCAGATGAGTACATGTAATTCTAACTCCAAGAAACCCACCCCCCCACAGCTGACAACACTTGTCATATCTAAATGTCCTTCCATTTAATTTGGAAGATTTATTATAAAAGCTTAAGAATAAACAAATGATATGTAATCATTGCTCAAAGCTTAGAAAAGAGACATTAACAGGAAGAAGAAGGAAAAAAAAAAACAAACCACTAATCTCTTGAAACCCTATTATTTGAAGCCGGCCACAGTTAGAAATACCAAAGCTTATGACCTGATTTTTCCTGAATGGCACTAATAGTCTTTTATACCTACAGGTAACAGAAGTTCTAACATTAAAATAAAAAATGGGTTTAAGAAATACAGATGAAGCATTTGCTACACAGTATCGCAGGAGGTTTCCTTGCTCTACTGCATGCTCATTTGGCTTCTCCACTTGGAAATTATTAGGTAAACTAGTCTCGCCCGGGGTCTATGCGCTTAGCAGTTTCTCTTTGTCTCGGTCTAGGCACGGACATCTGCTCTGTCTTAAACTGTGAGTACCAATGCCACCAGACCCCGTTTGGAGGAGAATGCTTCTGCCCCCCAACTCATATCATCAACGCCAATGACAGTCGTACTTGCATTGGTAAGTGTCAGCGAGGCGCGCCATGTATTTCATCAGAGTGTAGACTCAAGGTGCTACAAACTCTGAAACCTGGGCCATTTCAGCCCCGAGGCTTTTATGAGGTGACAAGCTAGAGAGTGGAGTTGGCTAGTGACTTGGGCCTGTTCACCACCTGATTTGATTTGCTCCCTTTTGGAATATTTAGAGGTGCCAGTGCTGGCTTTCTTTTTAAATTTTAAGTTAGCACAAACAGTATGGGGTTTGATTCGCCTTCCTACCTCCTTTCATTCATCTTCCTGGCCACCTATTGCATTTTTCGACACCCCCATAACATGCTTTTTAACCCCCTTTGTCACATGTCTTATGCCTGTGTCTCCTTTTCATAACCTTTCTTTCTTTCTTTCTTTCTTTCTTTCTTTCTTTCTTTCTTTCTTTCTTTCTTCCTTTCTTTCTCTCTTTCTTTTCCCTTCCTTCCTTCTTTCCTTCCTTCCTTCCTTCCTTCTTTCCTTTCCCCCACCCCCTTTGAGACAGGGTTTCTCTGTGTAGCATTGGCTATCCTGGACTCACTTTGTAGACAAGGCTGGCCTTGAATTCACAGAGTTTCATACACACAGACACACACACACACACACACACACACAAACACACAAATAAATAAATATTTCAGGAAAGTATTTCTTCTGAAAAATTTTCCAAATTTTTAAATTCTAATTTGTTCAATAAGTACCGAATTTGGATAAACCTCATGAAGCTATTCAGATTTTACTATCATTATTGGGCTTGAACATAACTATACATTTTTGAACATAGTTGACCTTAGTAACTGTCTCACTCAGAAACTGAGAAATTGAGGCTGGAAAATCAGGAGTTAAAAGTCATCCTTGGCTGCATAGTGAATTTGAGGCCAGCCTGGACTGCAGGAGACCCTGTGGCTCATGTCTGTCTCGGTGAGACTGAGAAAAGTCTAAATTATTGTAAACATCCATCCAGGTTTCTAATAATTTCAAGTCATTTTGTAGATAACATATTCCCTGAAACGGACATGTTCTCCTGTGTTTATTTTCATTGCACCGGGATGCAGTCAAGGATTAAACAGGGCCATCATCATCTGGTGGCGAACTGCTCCACCTAACTCTGGAAGCCTTGCCCATTTGCTGGCATCCCTCTGTGAGTGCCATTTCATTTCCCTATGGCAGTGTTCACCTGCGGGGTGAGACTACCCCTTTGTCTTTGGCAAGTGCCTGGCAGCTCTGCTCTGTTGGCTGCCAGCATGCTGCCAATCCTATTTCCAGGCTTTTTCCTTCTCCAGGCATTTCCCCTTTCTCTCAGTAGAAAAGGAATTCCAAGAGAAATACCAGAAGCCGCATTCTCACTATTACATCAGCCTTCCTTTTTTTTTTTTCTTCCCTTTCAGAAACCCCAAAGCGAGCGGTGGGGGTGGGGGGTGGGGTGTGAGGGCGCTGTGTCACCTGCCTTGCTGTGGAAACTTGATAAGGCATGAAGTCTTTTCAGCAAGAGTGACTTGCTTTTATAGTGTGCCCTGTCCTGTGCCGCCCGCAACCTGTTCTTGGGCTTTTTCCCCTCCTTCTCCCGCATAGCACATTCTCCCCCAGAATGCAGCTCTGGACAAGGGCTTGTAACTGCTAGAGAGTCTCATTTTTATTATGGGCGGAGAAGGTTTTTTGAGTTACACAGTTTTCCACAGAGCCTGCTGACAAGGGGATGCAGAAAAACAGCCCCCTTGTGCTGGCAGTTGTTTTAGGGTTTACCAAACACATTCAGCCTTCAGCACAATAGAAGCAGCATGGTTGAACAGTGACGGACTAGTTTTAAACTCCAGTGGACATCCTTCAGTCCCCGTCCCTCCCCTCCTTCCCCTCAGTTTCTTTCTGGGACATTCTTACAGACAACCTCATTTAGAGATAAGCTCAAAAGTCTACATTTAGGGCCCTTTGTGGCTGGAAGACCCCCGGCCACCTGCAGAGGCCTTTTCTGTGACCTTCCCTGTCGAGAATTCAAGAATGCATGAGTTATCCCTGAGTCAACTCTTTCATATTAATTTCCAAGATGACTTTTTCTTTTTTCCCTTTGTGAAGAGAACTCTGGTTTAAATACTGGGCATTATGAAACCAGATATCTGCTTGTTTAAGCTGAGTTGAGATTTCAGGGGAATTGTTTTAGTCTGTAAATCCTCTGCATGGTGGTGTTCACCCTTTGCGTGGCTGATTCATTACACCGCAGAGACTTCAGGAGTTGGGTGCCTTCTTCTTCAACGTGTCTCTCCATTGAATGCCTTGGAGGTAAATCAAGAATAAAATGGAGTAATCTTGACATGCAATCTGGTGTCTTTCTACCACTCATTGGTCCCTGCTAGTCTTGACCCTGCAGTGGAGTTTCTGTGGCATGCAGGAACAGTTTACTGGGCTCATTGTTTCTGATTGACAAGACACGCTGTTTGTTGACAGAATGACATCGTGCTGCAGGGTCAGGGCACAGAGGTCATTCTGCATGCAGGATTTCACACAGCCAGACAGAAGTTTCTAAGAGTCGCTCTAAGCCCAAAAGTAGTTTTTGAATTTTGCCAAAGCAGAATTTGTTGGTAGAAGTGGGGGATGGGGGGATCAAGAATAAGAAAGGAAGAGAAATAGATAAATGTGAAGGGTACATGCATAGGCCGTGTTTCATTTCAGGTAGTTTCCAGGTCCTCCATTCTATTTTCATTTTCTTATCTTACTTGACTGATGATAGATGTTTAATTAGCCTTCATTTTTCACAATAGGGGTCTAAACAGTACAATCTTTTTTTGTTGTAGTTTCTTTTGAATCATGGTCTTACCATGTCGTCCTATCTTAGCTGGCACTGGTGCATGGAAAAGGATATGCTCTCCAGTTATTGAAAATGGTAGTAATCTGACACAGTTATTCAACTCTGAAATGCATTCAGAGCAAGGTGACAGGAAGGGTATTTGGGCCTCATGTCCAGTTCTAGTTTCCTTCTTTTGGCATCCTTACTCTTGCTGCTCTTCGAGTGTTACTTTTGCAATCAAAATTAGATGGTGGGCCTGTGAGACAGCTCAGTGGGTAAAGGTGATTACCTTCAGGAGTGATGACCTGAGTTTGATCCCAAGGACTTACATGGCGGAATGAAAGAGCCAGTCTACACTTGGCTTTCATATACATCCTGAGGGAATGCATGTACACACACACACATACACACACACATCCCTAATTTAAAAAAATTAGGTGGCAGCTGGGCATAGTGACATCCTTTAATGCCAGCAGAGGCAGTGCAAGACCAGGACAGCCAGGGCTACATAGAGATTTTGTCTAAAAAACAAAACAAAACAAAACAAAAAAACCCAAACAAATTAAATAAGCAATTAAATAAGTAATTATAATTATTATGCTTTTGTAATGCCAGAGGACATGAGGAAGCTGCTCACAGACAGGGAGTGGTCATGGTTGTGATGGGTATTTAAATGTACCAATCTGTCAAGAATAGAACAATTGGTGCATCCCTCAATCCTCACAGTCTTGAAGAAAGTCTCCGATAACGCTGTTATATATGTCATTTACATTAGAAGTCTTTGTTCTTTGTGTGTGTGAGACATCTGTTATCTTTTATGTGAGGGGCATTCAACAAACACTTTTTAAAATGTATGAATAGCTAAGGAATAAACAGAAGATAATTTTAGGTTGCTTATGACTTCGAGGTCAAAGCAAAGGCATTTGGGTAAACAGAAGATTTCAAATACACAGCCACAGACCATTTTTTATGAGGGGGTCGCCTTACACATTCAAAAATAATGTTGTTGTCCAACACAACTTTCTGGCAAATGTAACTATTCTTGTATCTTCCCTCTTCCTGTAATCAGTATTATATGTAGCCTTTGAGGACTTCAAATGTGGCAGACAACTTACTGTTTAGGTAGCTAGGGGACAAATGGCTATTGTTGGAAAAGCAAGTGTTTTTGCCAAACTGCATGAATCTTGTAAGCCAATGTTAATTAATACTAATAATGAGACATAACAACATGCCTGTGGGTACAGTGCCTTCAGCCCTCTGTAGATAATGTGGATTCTCCCCTGGATGAAAATGCCTGTCTTAAGTTTCTCCTTCTGGTTTTGTGTACTTCTCCGGACCAAGATGTAACAATATTCCCGGACATAGAGAATCCAGAATTTCCTTCTGGGAATCCCCACGAAATGCTGATGGACATGATTATGCATGTGTTTCTCTCACATGGCAGATTTTGATGACTGCCAGATATGGGGAATTTGTGACCAGAAGTGTGAAAACCAACAAGGCCGTCACCAGTGCCTCTGTCAGGAAGGCTATATCTTGGAGCGCGGGCAGCATTGCAAAGCCAACGATTCCTGTGAGTACCTGGCTCTTGCCTCTCTGAGCAGCTGTCCTCTGTGGCGAGGCACAGAGCGGAGGGAGCCCTGTGGCCTGGGAGCAAAGATAATTGTATGTTATTCTTAAGGACCAATTTTTGAATTAATGGTGAACATCCCTAATATTTTCCTCTTTTCTCCTGTCTTTCCCTCTTCAGTACTAGGTATTGAACCTAAGGCCTCAAGCATGCATTCTTCCGTCTTTTGTTTGTTTTGAGACAGGGCTTCTCTTTGTAGCCCTGGCTGTCCTGGAATTCACTCTGTAGACCAGGCTGGACTCCAAAGTTCCACCTGCCTCCGCCTCCTGAGCTCTGGGAGCAAAGGCGTGGGACACCACTGTTTAGCCCGAGTTTCAGTCATTTTTAGTGGCTTCTTTAACTGGCCTACGCTATTGTATCACTCAGTTGATTTTATTGTGATTAAGATTTATGGCTGTATTTGACCGACATGAATATTTATACTTTGATATTTACCTATTACAAATGTCTGAAAATTATCTCTAGAAATATTTTACAAAGTTTCCAAAGGGACATGCTAATTTTTTTTCCCAAACATTGAATTCTAGGTATTTTGTGAAAAATGAGGGATTTCTGGGGGTTGATTTTAACTCCTTTCCCCCCCTTACTCTTTCCTTCATTACTCCCACTAAGGCACAAGGCTAGTTCTTAACTCTTCTTGTTCTCAATTATCACTTCACACTTGGCTATTTAATGCCTCCAGTGCCTTCTGAAACTATATTGTTCCTGTGGCCCAGATGAGAGGCATTTTTCTTCTAATTTTTGCACATTTTTTATTAATGTGCCAATCTTTTAGGTACAGATGTTTTGGCAGCTACTTTTATTCACTTCTGAATGTGCAGTCTGCTCACAATGAGCCTGGAGTGATGGTGTGTGGTCATAATCCTAGCATGTGGGTGCTCAGAGTTCAAGGTCATCCTCAGCTCCTTAGTAAGTCCGAGCCAACCTGGACTACACGGGGTTCTGTCTCAGACAATAAAATAAAAGTAGTTCCATGTTAAAACTTTTTAAGTATATTCATGTTTAGTCCATATATAGATATGTTCTTCCGTCCTTGATTTCTTCTCCCAAATTTTATATTTCCTTTCCCACAAGTAACTGTCCTTGCTTCATTTCAATTTTAGGAAATTAAAAAAAAATGTAAAAACAAAAGTACAACAATTGTGTTTAATTCCATTTTGACATGTACCAGCAAACATGAACATCTCCTAATGTCGTGTATTTTTAAGAGTGTTCTGTGTCAACCTTTGCTTGTTTATTATTATTTTTTTTAATGGAAATTTAAGAGACAGTTTCTCACATTGTAGCTCATACTGTCCCAGGACTCACTGTGTAGCTCACGCTGGCTTCAAACTCTGGACAGTCCCCCTGCCTCAGCAGCTTCCTGAGTGCAGTTACAGGAATGAACCTCCCCCCCCCCCCCGTTCAGTTCTTATTTTATATTACGGCATAGCACGCCAGCTTTGAATACACATACACGTCAAAAAGAATTGTTATTTTCTTTATGTGTCTGGGTGTTCTGCCTGCACGTGTCTACGCAACAGCTGTGCATCTGGTACCTGAGGACGAGTTATAGTTAAAGTTATAGTTATGGACCTGGAGTTATAGAAAGTTATGAGGGGTCCTGTGGCTTATAACCACTGAGCCGTCCCTCCAGCCCCACACATGATTTTTAAAACCAGTCAGCCATATTTTTCAGCCACTACTACTAAGACTCAGCGAGCGATTTCATCGTGTTATTTTTGCATAGTTGGGAATCTGGAGTGTAGATTTGGCTCCCCTAGACCCAGACATTCCTGGAATCTTAATGACGTGAATGTACAGGTGAGCAAGAGGTGTCCAAATCAAGGGACTGGCTGTATCCTTTCCCTGACTGCATTGGACCAGCAGCGAGAACACACCTCAGCGACTGTGGAATACCTTGTAGGTTAAGCATCACCTCCTGCAGGGTCGGCAGAATGGCTGCCATCTGCTTGCCTCACGGGAAGACGTGTCCGCATCTGACACGGTTTGCTCTTCACCGGTTTTGCTCTCTTCCGTCTCTCTTGCAGTCGGTGCAGCCTCCATTATCTTCTCCAATGGTCGGGATTTGCTAGTTGGGAATCTTCATGGGAGCAACTTCCGGATTCTCGTGGAGTCTAGAAACCGCGGAGTGGCTATGGGCGTGGATTTCCACTATCAGAAGCGCAGAGTCTTTTGGACAGACCCCATGCAAGACAAGGTAAGTAGGAAATTCAAGGGCGTAGCTTGCGAGCTGGATGGAGCCTAAAGCACAAAGTGTTGATAGCTTTTCGTTTTGGGGGGGAGCAGAGGGGAAAGTTCCTTTGTTTTCTGACAAAAACAGCCCTTGAGATATTTTATGTTAGTCAGCGTCTTTTCCATGCTATACTGTTACATGTGACCCGTGAGACAAAGACAGCTATTATTTCGATTAGCCTTGAGCAACTTTTAATTTTATTCGTAAAGGAGTCCAAAAGCCTAATTAAAAGAAATCATAGACCATTCGAAACCAGATAGATATTTAGTGGACATTTCTGAAACTCAATCATTTAAAATATAAAAATACTCTGCTTACTTGCATGATAAACATCAGATATATATATTTTTAACCTTCATCTGTACGTGGAGTTGTAACTGAGGGTTGGGCAAAAAAAAAATGCTGGCAGTTTTTAATGTTATGGCCAAAATTTCAATACATTGTTTTACTTAGAGAGTAAGATTGATTTCTTTTGTTAGAATTTTGAATATAATACAGATTCTTAAAACATATATTTCAGAAACTCCTAAAGAGTTATAGAATTTCATTTATTCTTGTTGCATTTCTTTTAATATGAAACCAAATATGCCTTTGTAAGATTCTAATTAAGGGATAACACAAAGTTGAATTTTGATCAATAGCAATTCTAATTCGCATAAATTAAAAATCAAAGCAAACTACCATCATCTTTACCCAAAAATAAAACCACAACTACACCAGGGATGAGAAATGTAGGTTTAAAAACAAAACAAAATAGAAACCCCATAAAAATCCAACCATGCTTTTACCCTATAAGTACTCTGAACAAAATACCTTTTCTCCTGGTAACCCACAATGTAAAATATAATAGCAAGCTGTTTGTAAGGTTGAGGTAACTGCTTGTGGTATTTCTTTCAGGTTTTTTCCACCGACATTAACGGCTTAAATACCCAAGAAATTCTTAATGTTTCTGTGGATGCTCCAGAGAATGTGGCTGTGGACTGGATTAATGATAAGCTTTATCTGGTAGAGACAAAGGTCAACCGAATTGATGTTGTCAACTTGGATGGAAGTCAGCGTATTACTCTCATAACCGAAAACTTGGGGCATCCTAGAGGAATTGCCCTAGACCCAACTGTGGGGTAAGTGGTCTCAAGAGAATAGCCATTCCTCGCCACAGAGCTCTAATGCCCGCGGATTCAGAGGCAGTTAATTCTGAGCTCTTTTAAGTTTTGTACCCTAGAACCTGTGTTTAGTAGGTTCCTAGGTAGAGAGGCTTTAACAGAGTTCACTAAATACAGGTCCATATGAGGATTTGCAATCCAAGCTCCCCTATTGGTGCCCTGGAAACACCTGATAAGTTGGTGTGACCTGTCTTCTCATTTAGTCACATTTGCATGGCTGTGGGCTCTGTTTCAGTTTAATTATTATAATACAGCGTTAGCATGTTCCACCCACATGAAGGGGATTCACTTGAGTGTGACCTGGCTGACAGGGTTTTTCATGTAAATACTCTGTTTAGCACTCGTTCTGCTCAGGGTGTGGATCTCAAGCCCATCGTAGTGAGAACCAACGCGACACACCAAATGCCCAGTCCCCGTAAGGGCTAGGTGCAGATGCTGTAGCCGCCCTCCTCTGCGCTTTAGGAGGCTAAGTTACACTTACAATGTGGACTCTTTCACCTTCTGCTCTTCTTTTGTAGCTATTTGTTTTTCTCAGACTGGGGAAGCCTCTCTGGGGAGCCCAAGCTGGAGAGAGCCTTCATGGACGGCAGCAATCGGAAAGACCTGGTCAAGACGAAAGTGGGCTGGCCCGCTGGCATCACTCTGGATCTAGTGACCAAGCGAGTGTACTGGGTGGACTCTCGTTATGACTATATCGAAACTGTGACATACGATGGGATTCAAAGGTGAGGCGTTTTTGGTTTTTGTTTTTTAAATGGCTTTATAGAGTTGGGGGAAATTGTATAAATGCGAAGGGCCAGGATGCTCTGTGAAATGAGAGCTTGCTTGATCTTCGTGTTGACTTGTGTTCCCAGTGACCAGCACTCAGGAGGCAGAGGCAGGTGGATCTCTGTGAGTTAGAGGCCAGGCTGGTCTCCAGAGCGAATTCCTGTACAGCCGGTGACAGATAAACCTGTCTCAAAACAAACAAAGCTACAAAAAACGTTTACCTACTTCTTCTTCTCCTCATTATTATTATTATTATATTTATTTTTATTGTGTGTGTTTTCATCTTTTGCGTTGTACTGTTCTTAGGGC